ACATCCATATATATAGTCCTGGTAAGTGAAATATTAATTCAAGGGGTGAGAAGTTGAAGCTGGCTATGATTGTGGGCATAACATGTTATGTTTGACTAGGGGGATCAACCAATATGCTGAATATATGTAAAATCATAGTTTGGGTGGCCAAAGAAATTGGGCAGCTCTACATGCAGGGTCAACTAATATGCTGTGATTCATGGAAGCTGTTACATGTTACCTGAATAAGATCTCGCATAATTTTTAATAGCATTGTCAAACCTTCTCTCAGCTGTTTGTTCTCACATAGAAACAGTCCCAAAATCTCGAATCTATCCTCAAACTACAATTTCCCATTCCAGGCATTACATTTTGGAAGCACATGTGCTTATATGATGGTTATAGTGTCATTTTTATAGTCTAAGACTAGAGACCTAGATAGAGACCAGACCCTAATCATTGCCTTGCATACCCATACATATTCAGCCTTGTATTCTGTGCCTCTATTTATTAAGTCAAAAATACTTTTGGAAATATTATAGGTTTATCTACCTTCACTCACGTTTTTGAGGAATGGAAATTTGAATCTCTGCATCTCGTAGTTTGTCTTACCCTTAGCATTACTTAATTGAGTTTATATGTCCAGTTTCTTTTTTTCAATCCTAAGATGGTATTTAACATCAGCTTGGCAAAAGAGAAAGAGAGCAAACTAGAGGTGTGGACCAGCTTACTGGAAGGAAAACTTGGTATATTGGCATAATGTGAGATAGGCCACTGCGAGCTAAATTACCATAAATGCAAGCAAGAAATGATAAGGTAAGAAAAATAAAAGCTTTGGCAAATATTAGAGGTATAAGTCAATAGGGTTCTTAGAGCAGTGTTGGACAAGACCAGGCTAGGTGAAAATAAGACCAGAAGTCTAAGTTAATAACAATTCATTTAACCAGAGTTTACCTGAACAAGTAGGAAGCAAATCACCTCCAAACAGGAGTTTGATAAAACTACCTGGAGGATCCTACAATGCACCACTAAATCAGTGCAAAACACTCTCACAGTACCTCCTGCATGTTTACACTTTCCCATCGGAAGACTGGAACAATGGGATTAACTGTTAATGCTTACAAGAGTCTTGTGGAACAGGATAGATAACTAAAGCTCCTTCAAACTCAGGTAAAGTGATTCCAATGGGTTTTTTCATCCGTCCTTGTCTTTTTCCTTGATCTGGTCTTTTTTCATCCCACTCCCAAAGAATGGAAACATTGGTATACTGGACATTTGCGGATCTGGGTGATATTTTAAGTATTGACATTTTGTATGATGACAACTGATATAACGGTGACTTGCATAGTGCATGTCCCTAACATTATAAAATTCCCCAACAGCTTCAGGGGAGCACTGTAAAAGAAAGCATGATGCTGAATCACATAAGGTGGTGTTGAATGGTAAACTGGTTAGTAAAGTTAGATCAGATGGGATCCAAGGAGAGCTTGCCAATTGGATACAAAATTGGCTTGACAGTAGGAGACAAAGGGTGGTGATGGAGAGTTTTTTTTGGACTGGAGGCCTGTGACCAGCAGTCTTCCACTGGGATTGGTGCGGGTCCACTGTTGTTTGTCATTTATATAAATGATTTGGTGAGAATATTAAGGGGCATGGTTAGTAAGTTTGCAGGTTACTCCAAAATAGCTGGTATAGTGGACAATGAGGAAGGTAACCTCAGAGTTCAATGAGATCTTGATCAACTGGGCAAAGGGTCGAAGAGTGGCAGATGAGGTTTAATTTGGATAAATGTTAGGTGTTGCATTTTGATAAGACGAACATGGGCAGGACTTACACAGTTAATGGTAGGGCCTTGGGGAGTGTTGTCAAACAGAGACCTAGGGGGTTCAGGTATATAGTTCCTTGAAAGTTGCGTCACAGGCAGACAGGGTGGTGAAGAAGACGTTTGGCATGCTTGCCTACATTGATCAGACAATTGATTATAGGAGTTGGGATGTCGTGCTGTAGTTGTACAGGATCTTGGCGAGGCCAATTTTGGAGTACTGTGTACAGTTCTGGTCACCCTGCTATGGGATGGATATTATTAAATTGGAGAGGGAACAGGAAAGATTTGCAAGGATGTTGCTGGGACTGGAGGGATTTAGTTATAAGGAGAGGCTGGATAGGCTAGGGCTGTTTTCACTGGAGTGTAGAAGATTGAGGGGGTATCCTAATAGAAGTTTATATGAGGGACATAGATAAGGTTATGAGCAAAGGTCTTCAACACAAGAGGGCATAATTTTAAGTTGAAAGGAGAAGGGCTTAAAAGGGATCTGAGAGGCAACTTTTTCACACAGACATTGGTTCATACGTGGAATAAGCTGCCAGACAAAGTGGTAAATGTTGGTATAGTTACATTTAAAATATATTTGGAAAGGTACATAAATAGGAAATATCTAGAAGGATATGGACCAAAGGGACAAATAAGACTAGTTTAGTTTGGGAAACCTGGTCAGCATGTTCGAGTTGGACGAAAGTGTCTCTTTCCATGCTGCATAACTCTGTGGCTAAATCCCTAAAAATAGTGGTGACAGGTTTAACTTTAGGTGAAAAGTTGAAAACATAGAGACAAGAAATTAGCAGTCTAAAAATCATTAATGCTCGGATTAGTACGTGAATTGTAGCATGTGAGTGAAAATGGTCTTTTTGACATTCATTTATCTGCCATTTTTGTGCAAGCATTTATTTCAAGTGGGTTAGTGCAGTTGCTAAAATAACAGACAGAATTGTTATATGTATATGTTAAGCATTCACCCATAATATCACCAGCAGTTGTTTTGAAGCAAATGTCTGGAAGTGAGAATGACAAAAATGAAACTGTGTTTTAAGTTTTCAGAATATTCAAACACTGGCAAAAATGGAAGTGAACAGAAAGAAAGGTAGATGAACTGAAAACTCAACAAAATTTCACATAATAAACAGTAGCAAATGAAAGAAACCAAGAGAAAAAAATTGAAATTCAACATACGTGATCAGAAGTTAAGAAAAAAGATTGTGTGGCCTGTTACTGTGCTGTAACAGTACAGTAAAAATGTGGTTTTGCACTTCTAAGAAGTGAGTGCTGTTGTTTACAGTTTACAGAAAAAAATATACATGGTATGTGCAAGGGTGGCATGGTGGAGCAGTGGTTAGCACTGCTGACCCATGGAACCTGGGTGTCTGTTTGTGTGGAGTTTGCATGTTCTCCCTGTTTCTGCTGGTTGCTCCAGTTTCCTCCCACAGTCCAAAGATGTGCCAGTAAGGTGGATTGGACATGCTAAATTGCCCTGTAGTGTCCAGGAATGTGCCGGCCTCTTCTGCTTGTAGGGATTCTATATGCAATTTCTCTGTAAATTGCGTAAAGAGGTCTAGTTAATTACTGGCGCTCAGCCACATATTTTAGAGTACTTTGGTTTAAGTTACAAGATGTAATTGCTGGTTCCTTCTGCCCTTTTAAATAAGGGCGGCTATGTCATGGGATTAAATTAGAAAGAAAAAAATTGAAGAAGCACATCATAAAAAAGATAATGCATGTAGGATCTACAGCCTAGTATGACTGCCCCGTAACACTATTTAGCATGGAACAAAAAAAAACCCAAAGAACTGTGGATGCTGGAAATCAGAAACAAAATCAGAAATTACTGGAAAAATTCAGCAGGTCTGGCAGCATCTATGGAGAGAAGGCAGAATTAACCTTTCTGGAACAAAGTTTTGAAGAAGGATCACTGGACCTGAAACATTAATTCTGCTTTCTCTCCACAGATGCTGCCAGACCAGCTGAGTTTTTTCAGCAATTTCTGTTTTTGTTACTATTTAGCATGAACTGATTATGGAACCTTCCTAAAGATATGTGATTCAATATTGCAAAGTGTTTTTTTCTATTCAGTAAGAAAACTCACAGGAATTAATCCTGAAAAGATTTGCTCAGGAAAGGGTGAAGATTTTTGAAGTTATTGAACACTTGAAGTAGTTTTCATTTATTTTGATACAATCACCTTAAAATTTTTAGGAGAATGGGGTAGATTTTCCAAAGTTCAGAATGCTTAGAAATGCATGAAAATTGTATAAGCACAGTTCAGCTCTGTTCCTGAATTTGTGATGTGTATGTCCATTCTATACAGTCCAATGTCAAAATGATACCCAAACTATTTTGATTGTACGTGAAGGCTTCTATCAAAGCATTATATTAATTAGTATTAACAACCATTACCTTCTGAATTGGAGAAGTGTTTCCTTCCTTTTATTGTTGAACTGCTTGTACAATGACAAATGCCAAATCATTGAGAGCCTTCCAGAATAGAATGAGATTTTTCAATATAAAAATATGACGTGTGTTTACAAGTAATATAATGAAGGAATATCTTGGTGCACAAGGAAATTCTGCTCATTTTAAATTTAACAAGTATGAAATGTTGGGAGAGCAAAGCTGATGCTCTTTTTTGAACAAATTTACGAACTCATAAATTGGATTCAGAACTCTTAAAGTGAAAGCAAGTTTGACTATTCATTCCTGCTAACTTTTACATTGTCAACAAGACACCTTACTATTAGGTCTTGACCTGAGTACCACAGTGAGCTTGCAACTTGTCAAGTTTACTGTGAACATTCATATTACTCAATGATAAGTCATTTGTGTGTCATTAATGAAAAAGCGTGTGAGTGTACTAGCTATTTATGCAATGTACCTGTGTAGGAAGGATTTGAATGAGTTGCAAATTGTACTTCAGCTTTTGATCATCACCATTGAAAGAGAGAATAGGAGTGAAGAGTAAAGTGAGGAGGAGATTGGGAGATTGTACCTTGTGGTAAGGAAGAAAAAGGACTTCAAACTGATGTATGTGTAAATTTAAAATGCATTGACATTTTACAGTGGAAATACAACCCACATATTACATGTTGAAGAAAGATATTGGAATAAAGTCATCTTTAATTTGGAGGCTGACTGCTACTGATGTCATGGAGCTGGACTGAAATAAAACACACTGTGTCACATGTCATTTCAGAGTGTTCAAGGTTTCTGGATTAATCAGACAGTGAAGAGAATTTCATCACAGCCACAGCAAGAGAGAGACAGAGGGCAGCAGTGACTGAGCAGATTTGAACAGACAGAGGTTATTGAAGAGCGTATTGTGAAAGCTTCGAACAATTCAATAGAACATGGTTGATAAAAGCTCGGAAGCCATGCTGGTAAGACCTGGAAAATAATTTGTTTTATTTAAATTAGTGTAAAATGATTTAAATTTCAGAGCTATGTTGGTAAATCTTGAAATTTGTTATCGACCCGTAATTTGAATTTTGGATATTTGGCAGTCTTGAGGAAAGGATCTGCTGCAGGCTTAGATCCAGTGTTGGTGTCTTCTTGGTGTCAGTTCCAGTAATTGGGATGAGTATTTTATTTTTGTGAGAAGTTGAATCACACAGCTTTATATTGACTTACATAATAGCATAACCCAGACCTGTAACACAAACATCACTTTACAATCTTGGGCTAGTCTGTTAGAATATTTGCACAGTGCTACAATCTCTCTGAAATGTATACAACCTGGTATGAGTATAACGGCTGATTTATTTCATTGCAAGATGAATGTACAAAGTAACGTGTATGTTGGAACTGCTTTAATTCAAATATTGTAATCTATGTTTGTTTGGCGTACGAAATATATCATACCACCTCATTTCACGGAATTAATCATACTGTTCCTTCAGTGTTTAAGACTCTCTGAGCCTGACTAAACTTACAAAGTTCTCTGTTTAAAAACCTAATCACTGCCAGATGGATCTCCCATCATTTTGTTTACGAAACACGGGGTATTTTTTTCCTACCTCATCTCCTTGTGTAGGAGTTGGTTGGATAAGTTGTGATCTAATCTTTTACTGCGCCCCTCTTTTTGAAACTAGATACAAGCAAAACTCAACAGTAAGGACATTTCAACCCTTTGTGGAGACAGCATTTGCAGAGGCAGCAAGGGATCTTTTTGAATGCCCCAGATAAAAAATAGTGGATGGTTTTAAGGCACATTCTCTAAATGACTACAGTGATTTAGTTTGAAAATTGAGCAAATGCTTTAATGTTATGATTCGGTTAAAGCACATTACTATTTGTTTTGTGGGAAAAGTCATTATATTGCTCAAGTTTGCTGTTAGAAGATGAGTTATCAGATTTAGAAGAACTCATCAGGTGTGCAGATTTTCATTGGTGCCTGGTTCTGAGAAATAAAGTGATTTCTATCGCATATAAAATAGAAAAAGGAACTCTGGATGCTGGAGATGTGCAACAAACAAAAACAGAAATTGCTGGAGAAACTCGGAAGTCTGGCAGCATCTGTGGAGAGAAAATCTAGTTAATGTTTTGAATCTAGTGGGACATAAACATGGGACTAGGTCAAATTTTAAATATTATCAAACTTTATAAGAAAGATTTCCAAACATACACAGAATATTTTTTATCACTAGAGAAATTTGACATTGCACAAAAAGGAAATTAGTTTTGCTAGAGCAGAGGTTTTATCAGTGCTTATGATTCAGAATGCCTTTAAAAGATAGTTGCATCTCATTCAACAATGTATCAGTTTTTCACAGGTTGTTTACAATGAGGCTAATAATGTAAAAAGAGGCCAATCATGTCAAATCAAATGATGTGTTGGATTTCTATCAGCAAGAAATTCAACCGGCCTCCCTGTAAAGCAGCAAAAAGCTACTGCCAACAAATTATGGATTTCTGTGTTTAGCTGCATATCAAAGTTACTGTCAGTTTCACTGTCTTGATGGTGTCAGTCCCATTGCAAAATCCAGGCATGTTCTGCCAGCATTTCACGTGAAACCACCATTGAATTACTCCTGTGTTTTTTCTCTAATTGCTACTAAAACTGATTTGTCTTTCAAATGAACAAAGTAAAACAAGTCTAAATTCATACATGGCACAGACCCAAAAAGCAAAGTTTGCTCTGAGTAGAGGCTTATGATCTGCCACCCAGCAACTGTGCAGTTTCTGAATTGAGTTTGATCTGGCTGTTGTCACAGACAGAAGTTATGTGTTCCTTTTACTTGCTATGATCAGTGTAACACTTTATGGCTCCCTCATAATGTGAGGTTGCACAAGTTCAATGTTATTTTTCAAATAGAAGGTGGTATTCTAGTTGATTCCAGCAACCTGTGTTGTTTAACACATTTAAGATTCATAAGATTAGCTTAGATGGGGATTACTATCCTAATTCAGGCTGATAAGGTTCATTCAGTTCCATCTGCCACACATTGAGTTTTGATGGTCCTTCCTTAACCAAAGAGATGTGTGAATTCCGCAAGTGGTTGTAAATGTCCATGTGTAATTTGGTAATGGTTTGAGAAATAGGACTATCTACATTCAAATGTCAAAGGTCACATAATTTGCAGCACATTTTAATAAACTTTTGTGTCATCATGCCATTTCATCTGGACCATGCCTTTTGTGAGGTCTCTGATCAGTCTGCAGTCAAACATTAAAGTTCCTGGCACCTCACTTGTATACATCTACCTTTTTTAAAAAAGAACTGGCTTCTTCTCTTTTGAGTGCTTTGCATATGTCTTCCCAAATGGTAACAAGGGGCTCTGACCTGGTGACAGAGACCCTGCCCTGCAAATTAACCAAAACCCAAAGAATGTAATTGGACCTGGGTTACTCATGATATAAAGTAAAACTCCTTGGCCAAATTCAGGAGCCTTCAGATCCCAATTTGATATATCTTGTAATACTTTGGAATGCATAATTAAAATAGCTATTGCATTTTATTTATAATTAAAGAATTGCTTGCTAATTTTATGTAAACTAATCTCTGGGAGTTGGGAATGATCTTTTCTAATATTTTAAAATTCATTTATCCTTGTGGCTGATAATGAGAGAATTCATTTCACTTTTAAGGAAATTATCTAATAGCAAGCCACAGATTTTAAAAGAGTTTCGACGGACGCTGCCTCATTCTGGTTTGGGATGTTGACAATTATTTGAGAATTAAGTACACCCCTCCCATCCATTGGTACGTTTATATTGAACGTCAATGGGCAATGACTACACACAAAAAATCTTTAAAAATGGTGTATTCTAGTTCATTCGAAGCACTTTTACCCTTCACAATGGATCAATAAAATAAACTTAAACAGGAAAAAACAAATTGACATTTGTGCTTTCAAAGACACCCCACTTAGCCAACTTCAAACAGATATTCTTCACCCACCAACTTGTGCCTTTCCTTCTCACCCACCACCCTCAGCCCTGTCATCAAAGTCACAGACACGGTAATCATTTCAACCACCACAAAGGGACAGACTCTTCTAAGTTCAAACTCCCAAATAGTGTAGTACATAACTGGGTCTTTCTCCTTGATTTCAATATGTGTTCCTCTCCTCCACCATGTTTAAACATCATTTGCATCCCAAGTTCACCTTGATATGCTGCTTTCCCTTGCCTACATTTAATGATGGTGCTGTCTTCCCCCTCCCTCCAACTCCTCTGAGACCAACGACTGCAGTCTTCCATCCACTTCCAAAGTGGCCTGCTCACTCTTCACCTTTTCTCCTCAACTTACTTGATTAAACATAACAGTCGTTAGTAAATTTCAATCTGGTCTCTATTCTTTGTACAGAATAAATAATTTGAAAAGTTCTTAAGACATGCTAATGGCTTGAGATATTTGGCATAACTTTTACAAGTTTGCATTGGCTGAGCTGAATAGTTCTAACCTTGAAAAAAGAAATCTCACCCCTAACTGTTCCCACTGTTAGTCCTTGCAGACTGTGTGCACCCCTTTTAGTTGAACAGGAACCTTTGGCCTTCCCTGGGCACCCCATGTCCAGGAATTGGATGATTGAGTTTCCCAATGAAACCTACCATGTCGAGCACTAACCTCACTACTCAAGACATCCAAAAAGCTTGTCCAGAAAGTTGAGCCCCAATTGATTGAGTGAAAGGCAGCTACTCTGGTATATCAAGACTAATTTTCAACTTCTGCCCAGGCAGGCACTGGCAATCCATTTTACCTGATTGTTACCCTATTGATCTCAGTAGGACTCAAAAGGTTAACATTTTTCAGCAGATAAACAGTCTGTTCTGATCTTGAAGGAGCAAAGTTGAAAATTGTTCCCACTGTGAGAATATTTATTGAAAATCACTTTAAACGGTGTTTGTTGTCTGAAGCTGTTGTGCTGTGTATCAACACCATTTTTGCAGCTGGTTCATCTGTATCTAGCACATTTCAAACTGAATTCAGTTTCAACTTCCTAAAATCTGCACTGTGGATTTAGATTGCTGCAACATATAGCAATCAAGATTCCTGAATTATGTCAATAAATCTGAAGCCTTTTTAATTATTGCTTGATTTGGAATAATAAACAGAGGGAATTGCCTTCCTAAAGACTCCCTGTTCAATTTTGTTCAAATATATACAATATTTACAATATTCTGCTGGAAAAATTAAGCTCCTAATTGCCTGACAGCCAATCAGAAGCCTGATGGACCATATTTAAATTAATACAGCTAATTACTCCACCTTGTCTTCCTTTATATCTCCTTCAGACCCAACTATATATGTAAAGACTCCCTTTCTAACAGCTTTGTAGGTCTATCTATACCAAATGGACAGCGGTTCAAGAAGGCAGCTCTAGGCCAACTAAGGATAGGCAGTAACTGTGAGCCCAACCTGCAAAGCTTGCATCCCACAAATTAATAAAACAAAGAGGAATTCCAGAATTAGATACCACAGTAATTGAATTGAATGATTTATTAACACTTGCATTTTACAGTGTATAATACAGTAACATACAGTCGATCTGTTGCTAATGCTTGGTGTTTCTATGCCTGGGTAATGGCCTTTTTATTAATTGAGATTTGAATTTAGCTCATTTACAGCTAGTTTAACTGATCAATGTTCAAAGTACAATTTAGAATTCCAGTCATAGATTATACAAATTTTATTTGGATATTTGAAAGAGGATGAGGATGAAGGTATGGAAGAGGCTGGATTGAAAATGTTGAAGATGGAAGAAGCTAAGTTGCAAGACCTCAAGTGTCAGACATTACTAAAGTACTTCTTCCTTCAACTTAGAATCTCAAATACCAGGTTTTATAGATCAAAGAAATCTTACATAGACATTTCCCATAATATAAAATGGTGCACAAGAAGTTGGGAAGTGGAACAGAAAAACCAGCAACAAACTTG